TAAGAGACAAGGAGGGTTAAGAGACAAGGAGGGCTAAGAGACAAGGAGGGCTAAGAGACAAGGAGGGCTAAGAGACAGGAGGGTTAAGAGACAGGTGGGTTAAGAGACACGGAGAGTTAAGAGACAGGGAGGGAGGGTTAAGAGAGAGGGAGGGAGGGTTAAGAGACAGGGAGGGAGGGTTAAGAGACAGGGAGGGTTAAGAGACAGGGAGGGAGGGTTAAGAGACAGGAGGGTTAAGAGACAGGGAGGGTTAAGAGACAGGGAGGGTTAAGAGACAGGGAGGGTTAAGAGACAGGGAGGGTTAAGAGACAGGAGGGTTAACAGACAGGGAGGGTTAAGAGACAGGGAGGGTTTGAGACAGGGAGGGCTAAGAGACAGGGAGGGAGGGTTAAGAGACAGGGAGGGAGGGTTAAGAGACAGGGAGGGAGGGTTAAGAGACAGGAGGGTTAAGAGACAGGGAGGGTTAAGAGACAGGAGGGTTAAGAGACAGGGAGGGAAGGCTAACAGACATGGAGGGTTAAGAGACAGGGAGGGCTAAGAGACAGGGAGGGTTAAGAGACAGGGAGGGAGGGTTAAGAGACAGGGAGGGAGGGTTTAAGAGACAGGGAGGGAGGGTTAAGAGACAGGGAGGGTTAAGAGACAGGGGGGAGGGTTTAAGAGACAGGGGGGGAGGGTTAAGAGACAGGGAGGGAGGGTTAAGAGTCAGGGAGGGAGGGTTAAGAGACAGGGAGGGTTAAGAGACAGGAGGGTTAAGAGACAGGGAGGGAGGGTTAAGAGACAGGGAGGGAGGGTTAAGAGACAGGGAGGGAGGGTTAAGAGACAGGGAGGGTTAAGAGACAGGGGGGAGGGTTAAGAGACAGGGAGGGAGGGTTAAGAGTCAGGGAGGGAGGGTTAAGAGACAGGGAGGGAGGGTTAAGAGACAGGGAGGGTTAAGAGACAGGGGGGAGGGTTAAGAGACAGGGAGGGAGGGTTAAGAGACAGGGAGGGAGGGTTAAGAGACAGGGAGGGTGGGTTAAGAGACAGGGGGGAGGGTTAAGTGCAGTAGATGTTTTGGGATGTGTCTGCCTGTGTCTAGGAGAGAAGGGCTAAGTGCATTCCGTCTCCATCTGTCTCGGGTCGTTCCATGGATAGCGTGCCTTTCATGGCCTTGTAACATTCTATACATTTTCATAAAACACTCAATTTAACAGTTTTATCACACATCTACGCTCTAACTAAACCATGTTAATAAATTCCAACAATTAATTGTTTTCTCTGAAAATCCCAATTTTGGCATGTCCCACGTCGTTTTTCCGAGACTTAATAAGAACAATTTTAACCCAGTTAACCCCAAACCTCCCCAAGTTTCCACCATCATCTCCCGCTCCCCGTGCATCCCTAGCAGAGGGGCTGGAGCCGGAACAGTGATCCCCAGGTTCATAAAGAGGGTGTGAACTGCCAGGAGATGCTCCAGTCTGACGGGTGGCTAACATGTTCACACAATTAAGCACAGCAAATCTCAACGTCACAGCACACACACAATCAATTAAAGGTCAATCAGTAGGTCAACTAAGGTCAATCAGTAGGTCAACTAATGTCAATCAGTAGGTCAACTAAGGTCAATCAGTAGGTCAACTAATGTCAATCAGTAGGTCAACTAATGTCAATCAGTAGGTCAACTAAGGTCAATCAGTAGGTCAACTAATGTCAATCAGTAGGTCAACTAAGGTCAATCAGTAGGTCAACTAAGGTCAATCAGTAGGTCAACTAAGGTCCATCTTGAGTGAAAACATGCATCAGATGATTGAAAATTCTTAAAGCTGAAATGCCCCCTTCTACTACACAGGTTCATTCCATGAGTATGCAAAGTGAGTTGTAAAGACAGAGACAGCGCCCTCCGCTGGGTGGGGTGGTCCTTTTCTCCTGAATCCTCACCTTCCTTACCCTCTCTTTCTTTGAACTGACAGTCAATTATATTTCAGCTGTCTGTCACCGTCCGTACATTATAAATACAGGATCAAAAAGGCACAAAGACTGATTGAGGGATCCAGTTTTGAGTTTCAGATTTAAGATATTCTCTGTTCCGGGACATTAAACATTTTAGTCATTTAGCGTATGTTCTTATCCAGAGTGTCTAACAGTCGGTGCATTAAACTAAGCTAGGCAAGACAACCACATAATCACAGTCATTGCAAGCGAAACACTTTCCTCAATAAAGCAGCCAACAGCTAAATTAGTACTAGTAAGAAAACACAGTGTCCCAGTGTTAGTGCAAAGAAAAGTACAACAGTAAGGATTTTTTAAAATTAATTTTTTAAAGTATTGTTTAGGCCGGGGCTGTGAAATACTAATTTGGGGCCTAGTTTTGATTTGTAGCCACGACATGGTCAGTGCCAGGTGGTGGTTGGTCCATGTTCTGCCTGGTTTTAGTTGATACATTAGTCATCTAAAATCCTGCCAGGGGCTGTGTAATGGGCTTATGTAATGGAATAGGTCAGACCAGATAAACATCTCTACTCACTACATATAAAACAACTTCCTGCTTAACCGCTGTATCCAGGCAACTAACAGAGCCTAGTGAAAAATACATTTACCGCAAGACAAAAAACAAAAAAAAACACCTGTTATGTATGACAGGGTGCACTGTACAACTTAAGACAGTCCACTTCTACAGTTCTGCTTGTTTTCAAATCTACCTGGTGGTTAAGTGATCGTATTTATTGATTGGCTGGGGAGTGCATTCACTCGGGTAGTATTCATTAGTGCACACCATAGGGAAAAAACATTTTTTGCAACGAAAACACATTTCTTATTGGACAAACTCCGGTAGGTCCCTGCCGTTTGTGGTTTCCTAGTGAATAAGACCCAGGGCCCCGCGCTCAGTTGGCTGAAGTATTGGAAACGTTGCAGACAAAAATGCCGTTAATAGAGCTGAATGATCCCTTATTCTACATGTCAGAAGCAAGACACTACACAGAAAAATAGTTTATTCTCACAAATAAACTTTTATGTTGTTTTCAAGTATTCCAAAACTGTTAAATAAGTACAGGGGGTGTGTTCACGTGATTTTACATATTGGACATATAAGCACTGCTCCAATTTAATGTTCTGTTGGAAGTGTTTTCCCACGACCCCACGCAACACTAAAATGTCTGCAAACTATTCACATTTCTTTTTTTTGTTTGAATTTCATCAAATCGGAAATGTTGACAGCTGGCTATTGAACAAAGACCACACAGACAGTGCACCTGGAACAGTATACAGTGAAGAATGGAGGGTGACTGACGTCCATACAGGGGAGGTACACGTATAGCCAGGGTTGCGTTCATTAGGGAACACAACGGAAAAAGTTTTGCAATAAAATAAAATAAAATAAAAAAAGTGACAATTTCTTAGGAAGTCCGCTCTCATTTCAGTTAAGCTTTCCCCCCCCCCCCTTTTGTGCCTAAATGAACACAACCCTGGTTAATAACTGTGATTTAGCTGCTTGCTGGTGATATGAACAGTACAGGAGAAAAGAAATAGGGGTTAACATTCATCTCAGTTGATCCCTTGATTACATTTGGCAGTTCAGTACTTCCACACTAAAATACCTGTTTCCCAGACAAGGATTAAGACTAAAGAGCAGGGAGAATCTCTATTGAAATAGCTTGGTAGTTCAGGGCTAGTCTGAATGTGTCTTGAGAAACCAGCCCTAAGACAACTCAAATAAAAGACTATACAGAAAGACTGGGGTTGTGGGGCAAGAAAGTGTTCCCATAGTTACAGTTACCGAGGGACTACCTACTGTTCTTCACCTTCTGTTAATTATTTTTTTCTAAAATTAGGCCTAAAACAGATATCCCAGGAGTCGTTCGTAAGGCACCTAATACTGTTTTGAAAATGATTGACTATTTAGTTGGTATAATATTCTATTTAGTTATCATGTGTTCACTATGAATGATTGGTTCTGCAGGGGATCTGAGAAACAACTACTAATACTTCAGCGAGTTTTAACTCATTTCCAGAACACGATTCAGTCTTTCTGTACATTCCTTCTTCTCCTCTCCATCTTACTTCGTGATGACGTGTTTAAAACAGCATACAGACGTCCCTACACATCATGTATTTCACCGATTAGTGTTTAAAACATTAAACCACCATTAAATGCCATGTTTACATTGATCAGAGTGTTGTGGCTAGACGGTATACAGCATGTGTCAAACTCATTCCACGGAGGGCAGAATGTCCTCCCTTGTACTTGATCGATGAATCAAGGTCACTAATTAGTAAGGAACTCCCCTCACCTGGTTGTCTAGGTCTTAATTGAAAGGAACAACTAAAAACCAAACAGACACTAGGCCCTCCATGGAATGAGTTTGACACCCCTGGTATCCAGCAAAGGTTATAAAAGTTGCACGTTCGAGTCGGGGAGAATATTAGCATTTCAGCTAACCCTAACCTAATTCTCCTAACCTGCCAGGAAGTCAAATTCTGTCCGTAGCGGTATACGATCTAGTCAAAACCATCAGACGCTACTGAAATGAAGGTTAAACTACCAAAACGTTGGTACATTTCTTCACTTGTCAATGACCTATTACCCGTCATGCTGTAAACAGTCCTGTGTGAGCTTTAACACGTTGGGATAGTGCAGCTAGGCCAAACATTCTCTTAGAGAACACAAAACACAGGGTTTGTTTGGAGAGGAGAAGCACGGTTGGGGCCCAATTCCATTTCAATTCAGACAAGGAAGCAAACTGAAATTCCAATTCAGAATTCCGGGTTTGTGTCCTGAATTGAAATTGGAATAGAGCTCAACCCTGATGAGCAGCTGATAGAAGTCCACTATGATTCCAGTGTGTTGGTGGGACTGAGTTCATTCATGAGTTGAACGGTTTAGAACAATGGAAACCTGTCATTATTATTCTACAACTGAACAGATTGATCCCGTCAGAACATTACTGGACCCATATAATATGGGTTTTACACAAACTAAAAAATTAAAATAAAATAAAAAGAGTCTGGTTTGCCAACAGAATTTAGAATTGCGTACTGTGAGACAAAGATAAAGTTGAATAAGTCTGTCTACAGGACAGAGGATAGTCACCATAACAACTGTACACCTTCTACAATATTCATGTTCATTATGAATAATAATAATAAGAGGAAGAAGAAGACAGAAGTGCATTCACTTTCATTTACAGAAACAACTTTTCCTTCCGATTCTCTTTTTATTTGATTTTTAAATTTACTTTTTTTAAATTACTGAACTTCTTTAACATCATCAACAGGACAGTTGATTAGTGAGTCAAGTGTTTTCTGTACATGTAAAGGTGGAGGGACGGGCCTGCATCCCAAATGGCACCCTATTCCCTACATAGCGCACTACTTTTGACCAGAGCCCAAAGTAGTGCACTGCATAGGGAATAGTGTGCCATTTTGGAACGCAGGGATGACCTCCATTCAGAGAGCTTATCAGGCGTTGAGCCTCAGAGACTGGTCTTCTCTCCTCCGGGAGGAGATATCGATGTCTATTGAGTCTTTCCCCACGATGAGACGCAACCGTTTCGCCGGCGGGAGTGGAATGAAATCGTCCTCAAACTCATCGTCAAAGTAATCATCATCATCGTCATCCTCCTCTTCCTCCTCCTCATCAGACGAAGAATCATCTACCACAACGTTTTGCATCCTGTGCCCCCCGTGGCTCCCACCGTTCCTGGCCTCCAGGCCGAAGCCCCCACCACCCAGGCCACATCCCCCCGTGTCCCCCCTGTTGAAGGTGCTGTCGTCGGGGTGCGTCTGGGTCCGGCCATCGTCCTCCCTCTTCAGCTGGATCTTCAGCTTGGTGGAGCTGCTGGTGCTGTGGGGACCGGGAGGCCCGAACCCGTTCAGCTTGGACACGTGGTAGGAGCTGCATGAGCTGCCATTCTGCCTGTCCTGAGACTGGTCCTTCCTGAACATGATGCTGATCTTGGAGGTTGATGAGGATGAAGATGATGATGATGATGAGGAGTTGACCGGGGGTTGGGCGGTAGGCTGCGGTGTGGTCGTGGTGCTGCTCGCCTGCTGCTGCGTGCTGATTGGCTCGCTGGGCTCGTTGGTCTTGCTACTGCTGCTGTCTCGTCGCCGGCGGAGCGTCAGTTTGGGGATCCCTCCGCTGTTCTCCAGGATCAGCTGGGCATCGTAGCGCGTGATCCGCTGCTTCTTCTTCCCTTTGCTCTGCGACCTGTCCCCCCTGTGGCTCCGGTAACCCCCCTTCCCCTTATGCCTCCTGTCCTTCTCCCTCCCCTTGTCCCTGTTCCTGTCCTTCCTCCGCTCCCTGCGGAGGGGCTTGCTCCCATTGTAGTCCCAGTGGTGCTCCGGGACAGAGAGGCCCAGCAGCCTCTTGTCGCAGTCCGCCGTGTCGGCAGTACTGTGGTGGTGACGGGGGTGTTGGGAGGCCGCCACCGGGGCCGCCGCTATCGGCGTTAACAGCTCGCCGTATGACGAGTCCTCGCGCTTTATCGTCCGTTCGGGCCGGAGCTGGGTGAGCTGGCTGCGCCTGGTACAGACCCCTCTGCTTGTGTAGCCAGCATCCAGGCCTCCACCCAGCTCCAGCCCGTGGCCCAGGTACTGTTCCAGGTCGGCAGGCTCCGTTTTAATCACCACCCCTCCGGGGACGGTGCTGTGGCCCTCCAGCCCCCCAGGCTCCAGTTTAACCCCAGCTGACCCGGCTACAGCCTCCTGGACCTTTACCAGGGTCCTGGTGGACCTGCGAGTCCTGTAAGTGCAAGGTTGGCTCTGGCTGCCCTGGCAGACTGCCGGGGTGTTGTTCTCCTTGACCGCATGGCGGGTCAGGGCTGTCTGGACTGGTCCCTGTGAATCCTTCTCCTTCTTCAACGACACGCCCGCCTTACATAGCGACAACGTCCTCGGCTCCCGGAGACCCAGGCGACCAGGCCCCGGACCCAGCACCTCCCCTCGGGCCCCCAACGATGCTGCCGCCTTGGGCTCCGAACCTCTGCCCCTGCTGCTTCGACTCCGCAACCGCACCTTGGAGAGCGAAGGCTTGGCGGGTTTGGATTTGAGTCTCTTTGGTACCCTGTTAGTGTTTCTATGACTTTGTTTAGAAGGTGAGGTAGAGGTTAGAGCTCTGGAAAGAGACTGTCTGGTTTGAGTCCTGGTTTTGCTGAACTTCATACTGGAGGAAGTCCTTTTCCTTCCAGCTGAGGAGGGAGAAGAGTGGGAAACTAAACATCAAATCATTCCTAAATTGAATTTTAAACGTAATTCTTGAAGTAACTGTTAAAATTGTGTTTCTTTATTTTACACATTAAAAAAAAAAATCTACAAATTCAGCATAGGGGAAAAACTAACAATACAAGCGGTGGAGGTGATCCAACTAAAACCCCAATTGGAAACAATGGACCCCAACCTCAGCCCTAATTTCAACCCTGGTTTTGACCTGTTCTTACATGTGTGTGTGTTTGGCATGTCCTGAGAGTCTATGTCGGTGTGGGATTCCACAGAGTGGCTGTCGGAGTTCCTGCTGCCCTCTCCCAGCTCCATCTTCTTCAGCCGGTTCAGACGCTTGTCCGTCTCCCGTAACCCGTACTTGCTGTTGATCACCGGAGCCTCCGCCGGCAGCCCGGCTTTGGATTTGAAAGCACCAGTGAGACGTCTGCAAAAAACAATAAACAAGGACCGGTGAAGTTCACAAAAACGTCTTGAATTGTAATACCTCGTCTTCATATTCCTTCATCCACATGAATAAACCCTGCTTATTAATGTGCATTTATGTATTTGTATTAATTGTGCCATTGCGTCGCATTACCTCAAATTATGTCAACAAAAGAGATGGAAATCCAAAGCAGATTTTGTTGTTATTCAATCAATAGAAAAATGGGATGTCAAGACCAATTCGTACCGTTCACACGTATAGCATTCACAATATTCATTGTTCTCCCCAAAGAATCCGTCACCGTAGTAACAGGAGATCTCTTCTCCTGGTTCGATGTCCCTCAGCACCTTGACACAGGCCGTGTCGCGACCCGTCGACACAAACTGGAACACACCACGACATTCATGTTACACCTTCAGCCATCTAAGCCACACAACTACAACCGTTACCCACCAGGGACCGTGTTTACAGAGAGTCTCTGAGTAGACTACAACCATTACACACCAGGGACCGTGTTTACAGAGAGTCTCTGAGTAGACGTGCTGATTTAGGATCAGTTTGGCCTTATAGATCACTGCTGCTACTCGCTGTTTATTATCTATGCATGGTCACTTTACCCCTACCTACATGTACATATTACCTCGACTAACCTGTACCCCAGCACACTGACTCGGTACCGGTACCCCCTGTATATAGCCTCGTTATTGTTATTTTATTGTGTTACTTTTATATTTTTTCACTTTCGTTTATTTAGCAAATATTTTCTTTTTAACTGCATTGTTGGTTAAGGGCTTGTAAGTAAGCATTTCACGATAAGGTCTACACACCGGTTGTATTCGGCGCATGTGACAAATAACATTTGATTTGATGAATTCGATTATATGGAGGGGAAGGACATGATCCTAAATCAGCACTTTATAAATATGGGCCCTGAGGTAACCTTTATCACAGGTGGGTAGGAGAATCAAAAACTGAAGTGAACAATTCAAAGTAAAGAAATAAACTTTTAATGAAGTGAAACTTTTCAGTCACAACTTTGTTAAGGCATGTTTCACCAATCTTTTGTTGCAAGAAATAAAACGATACATTAAAAATAATAGTATATTTTATTGTCTATGTGTGAACCAGCCTCTTTCTGCCATCTTAATCGATATCCCATGTGTATTGCGCTAACCTCATTCCACACAAAGGGTAGCAGGCTATTCTACTGATCCCTGGCCGTTATCACACTCACCTTGCAATTTGGCCGGCAATCTGAAAATACAAAACAACACAAAAGATTAGGATCACAATTTCCTCAGAGAGAGAGAGCAGCATAGCTTTAACTGACCTTCTGGAACACTGACAAAGGACTCACCCTATCTGACCTTCTGGAACACTGACAAAGGACTCACCCTATCTGGCCTTCTGGAACACTGACAAAGGACTCACCCTAACTGGCCTTCTGGAACACTGACAAAGGACTCACCCTAACTGGCCTTCTGGAACACTGACAAAGGACTCACCCTATCTGACCTTCTGGAACACTGACAAAGGACTCACCCTATCTGACCTTCTGGAACACTGACAAAGGACTCACCCTATCTGGCCTTCTGGAACACTGACAAAGGACTCACCCTATCTGGCCCCCTATTCACTATTTAGTGCACTACTTTTGACCAGATCTTCTCAGCCGTCTGATATTAAAACACCTATTATCTGTTCCTGTCTTGGAGACACACCCAAAAACATCCATTGTAACTGCCCAGAATAAATCTATCTGTAAACTTTATTTGGGAGTGCTGGCCGTATTTTTTCATGTAAGTTGGGTTTACTTGTTGTATTTTGATTGATTTATTCAACCTTATTCTACAGGTAAATGAATTAAGATCCAATGCCAACCCATATGGTGTGGGCAGTGGAGACTGTAGTACCGTGGTTGATGAAGGCTGCAGGCCCCAGCCACAGCTGAGCACAGTTCTTGCGTGTCGAGTACATGACACTGAAGTCGTTCTCCCCGTGGCGCAGCAGCATGTTCTCCTCACTCTCCGACAGCTCAGCGATGCAGCCCACCAAGTACTCAATCTTATCATTCCTTTTCCTGAAGACCAAGAGAAAGAAAGAAAGAAAGAAAGCGAGAGAGAGAGAGAGAGAGAGAGAGAGAAAGAGAGAGAGAGGAGAGAGAGAGAGAGAGAGAGAGAAAGAGAGAGAGAGAGAGAGAGAGAGAGAGAGAGAGAGAGAGAGAGAGAGAAAGAGAGAGAGAGAGAGAGAGAGAGAAGGCGATCCAAATAAGGGACGTGATCACTACGACACAGAAAATCAAGGACTAAAGGGCATAGTGGTTTTAGTGGTTTGAGAGAAGGTCGGTCCATTTCCATGATAATGATGTCAGAACAGCATGAAGTGTGAAATACGTTCCTCACCATTCCTTTGTTGCCACGATCTTGGCTCCGTTTTGCTCAGAGGAGTAGCGGTTACACGGGAGAATCTCAAACCCACTGTCAGTCGCAAACATCCGGAGATACACAAATACCTGTACAAATGGGAAAACAAAAAAGTTACAAGGAAAGAAGTGACTTGATCTTGTGGTTCACCAACCTAATAAAAAGGTATGTGTTGGATCAGTTGATTGGTGCAGGTCCTACTTCATAATGACTGTTTATCGGCCCAGCACCACATCAATAAGAGATGTGTGTTTCACCATCAACAGTGCTACTTGTGGGGGTGCTTCCCAAATTATATAGTGCACTACTTTTGACCAGAGTCCTATGTGACCTGGCATAGGGTGTCATTTGTGACTCTGTGGTGTTGTAATCTCACATGCTGTTTGAAGAGCTTCTCCTGGGCTTTAGACTTGTGTAGGAAGTGGTGTCTGGACCAGTCTCCAGAGGTGAGCGCTCTGAAAGCCTTCTCCAGGTTGTCATGCTTCTTGAACCGCTCAATAATCTCCTTCAGCTCCTCCTGTCTTCCCTTAATTGGTCGAAACCTGTCACGAACATCACCAGTGTCATCAATAACAACAAAAATATTCCGGTTTCCAAGGTGACCAAATACAATTCAAATCATCTAGCGAAAGATCTAGAAGGAAGACTATAAGTGGATAAGAGACATTTCACAAAAACATTTCTCGATGCGTTCTAAAGTGCTCATTGTCAGTGACTGCAATTGATTGGATTTCTGTAGTGCTTTTCCAGACAGTAGCACTCTGACAGTGATGAGATGAAGAGGTCTAGACCTGGTTCAGTGATGAGAGAGGAGGTCTAGACCTGGCTCAGTGATGAGAGAGGAGGTCTAGACCTGGCTCAGTGATGAGAGAGGAGGTCTAGACCTGGTTCAGTGATGAGAGAGGAGGTCTAGACCTGGCTCAGTGATGAGAGGAGGTCTAGACCTGGTTCAGTGATGAGAGAGGAGGTCTAGACCTGGCTCAGTGATGAGAGAGGAGGTCTAGACCTGGTCAGTGATGAGAGAGGAGGTCTAGACCTGGCTCAGTGATGAGAGAGGAGGTCTAGACCTGGCTCAGTGATGAGAGAGGAGGTCTAGACCTGGCTCAGTGATGAGAGAGGAGGTCTAGACCTGGCTCAGTGATGAGAGAGGAGGACCTGGCTTCAGTGATGAGATGGAGTCTTACCTGGTCAGTGATGAGAGGGAGGTCTAGACCTGGCTCGTGATGAGAGGAGGTCTAGACCTGGTTCAGTGATGAGAGAGGAGGTCTAGACCTGGCTCAGTGATGAGAGAGGCGGTCTAGACATGCTCAGTGATGAGAGAGGAGGTCTAGACCTGGCTCAGTGATGAGAGAGGAGGTCTAGACCTGGCTCAGTGATGAAGAGTGAGGTCCTAGACCTGGTCAGTGATGAGAGAGGAGGTCTAGACCTGGGTCAGTGATGAGAGAGGAGGTCTAGACCTGGCTCAGTGATGAGAGAGGAGGTCTAGACCTGCTCAGTGATGAGAGAGGAGGTCTAGACCTGGCTCAGTGATGAGAGAGGAGTCTAGACCTGGCTCAGTGATGAGAGAGAGGTCTAGACTGCTCAGTTGATGAGAGAGGAGGTCTAGACCTGCTCAGTGATGAGAGAGGAGGTCTAGACCTGGCTCAGTGATGAGAGAGGAGGTCTAGACCTGGCTCAGTGATGAGAGAGGAGGTCTAGACCTGGCTCAGTGATGAGAGAGGAGGTCTAGACCTGGCTCAGTGATGAGAGAGGAGGTCTAGACCTGGCTCAGTGTATATTTTGATTTGTTTAACACTTTTTGGGTTACAACATGATTCCATGTGTGTTACTTCATTGTTTTGATGTCTTCACTATTATTATACAATGTAGAAAATAGTACAAATAAAGAAAAACCCTTGAATGAGTAGGTGTGTCCAAACTTTTGACTGGTACTGTATATATATATATATATATAACATTTTGGGAGTGGGGGGCAAAGATTTAGCAGCGGAAGTTCAGGTATTGATCGAGGATGAGGGTTAGGGGTCAAAGTCAGGTTTAAGGTTAGGTATAAAGCCCCAGACAGACCTGGTGTTCATCTTGTGTGTCTGGAAGCCCAGGTAGGGGTCGAGGATGAGGGTTAGGGGTCAGAGTCAGGTTTAAGGTTAGGGTTAAGGCCACAGACAGACCTGGTGTTCATCTTGTGTGTCTGGAAGCCCAGGTAGGGGTCGAGGATGAGGGTTAGGGGTCAGAGTCAGGTTTAAGGTTAGGTATAAGGCCCCAGACACACCTGGTGTTCATCTTGTGTGTCTGGAAGCCCAGGTAGGGGTCGAGGATGAGGGTTAGGGGTCAGAGTCAGGTTTTAGGTTAGGGTTAAGGCCCCAGACACACCTGGTGTTCATCTTGTGTGTCTGGAAGCCCAGGTAGGGGTCGAGGATGAGGGTTAGGGGTCAGAGTCAGGTTTAAGGTTAGGGTTAAGGCCCCAGACACACCTGGTGTTCATCTTGTGTGTCTGGAAGCGCAGGTAGGGGTCGAGGATGAGGGTTAGGGGTCAGAGTCAGGTTTAAGGTTAGGGTTAAGGCCACAGACAGACCTGGTGTTCATCTTGTGTGTCTGGAAACCCAGGTAGGGGTCGAGGGTGAGGGTTAGGGGTCAGAGTCAGGTTTAAGGTTAGGTATAAAGCCCCAGACAGACCTGGTGTTCATCTTGTGTGTCTGGAAGCCCAGGTAGGGGTCGAGGATGAGGGTTAGGGGTCAGAGTCAGGTTTAAGGTTAGGGTTAAGGCCCCAGACAGACCTGGTGTTCATCTTGTGTGTCTGGAAGCCCAGGTAGGGGTCGAGGATGAGGGTTAGGGGTCAGAGTCAGGTTTAAGGTTAGGGTTAAGGCCCCAGACAGACCTGGTGTTCATCTTGTGTGTCTGGAAGCCCAGGTAGGGGTCGAGGATGAGGGTTAGGGGTCAGAGTCAGGTTTAAGGTTAGGGTTAAGGCCCCAGACAGACCTGGTGTTCATCTTGTGTGTCTGGAAGCCCAGGTAGGGGTCGAGGATGAGGGTTAGGGGTCAGAGTCAGGTTTAAGGTTAGGGTTAAGGCCCCAGACAGACCTGGTGTTCATCTTGTGTGTCTGGAAGCCCAGGTAGGGGTCGAGGATGAGGGTTAGGGGTCAGAGTCAGGTTTAAGGTTAGGGTTAAGGCCCCAGACAGACCTGGTGTTCATCTTGTGTGTCTGGAAGCCCAGGTAGGGGTCGAGGATGAGGGTTAGGGGTCAGAGTCAGGTTTAAGGTTAGGGTTAAGGCCCCAGACAGACCTGGTGTTCATCTTGTGTGTCTGGAAGCCCAGGTAGGGGTCGAGGATGAGGGTTAGGGGTCAGAGTCAGGTTTAAGGTTAGGGTTAAGGCCCCAGACAGACCTGGTGTTCATCTTGTGTGTCTGGAAGCCCAGGTAGGGGTCGAGGATGAGGGTTAGGGGTCAGAGTCAGGTTTAAGGTTAGGGTTAAGGCCCCAGACAGACCTGGTGTTCATCTTGTGTGTCTGGAAGCCCAGGTAGGGGTCGAGGATGAGGGTTAGGGGTCAGAGTCAGGTTTAAGGTTAGGGTTAAGGCCCCAGACAGACCTGGTGTTCATCTTGTGTGTCTGGAAGCCCAGGTAGGGGTCGAGGATGAGGGTTAGGGGTCAGAGTCAGGTTTAAGGTTAGGGTTAAGGCCCCAGACAGACCTGGTGTTCATCTTGTGTGTCTGGAAGCCCAGGTAGGGGTCGAGGATGAGGCTGGTGGTGAGGTCATCGTGCTCACACAGCTCCTTGGCGGTCATCCCAGAGGATGGGACACAGCGTCGCTCCGCCTCCAGGCTGGCCGCACTGAACCCTGGGAAAAACATGAGTAAATGAGTGCACAGAGTAGGGTGAAGTTACCCCTAGACCAGCGGTTCCCAACATTTTAACATTCCGGGGAACACCAAATCACCGACAAAAGCTCGAGAACCACAATTTGCGGAATAAGAAACCTTTAATTTGTTACATTCACTACTAAAATTGACAACATTTGACTTCCAATATATCCTGTTAAAATGGTTTGGTGAAAGGTGGTCCTCAAGAGCTTTCGACTGTGATTTGGTGTTCCCCGGAACGGAAAAGGTTGGGAACTGCTCCCTAGACGCTAATCTTGTTGCATTTTCCCCCACTATTGGTAATGGTTAGGATCAGTTGGCCAATCCATAGCAAAACATTTTGCAACTGAAAACTAAAATCTGTGCTGTTATTGGACAATATCAAGTACATAGTAAAGCCTACGGCTCTGTTTCAAAATGTTTTGTCCCAACTGAACTAGGCCCAGGGTCACTCACTAGGAAACAAACGGAAGCCAACGGACTGAAAGGAGAAGGGATTACCTCAACGTGTCCAATAAGAAACTCTTGTTTTCCATTGCAAAACGTATTTTTTGGTACGGTGTGCACTTATGAATACGACCCATTTGATAGAATAAAGTCCCAGTCCCAGTACTCACGGCGGCTACATCTCCTGCTGCCAGTCCCCGGTCGTAGAGAGCTCCGCTGTGGGTGCAGCTGCTGCTGGGAGCGGGTCTGGCTATGGCTCACAGGCTGCTGGGAGCTGGTGGAGTACCTGCTGCCATTCAACACCATGCTCTTGGATTGGCCCAGCCACTTCATACCCACAAGCCCCCTGGTCCAGTTGCATTTAGTCTCCGAGTTGAGGGAGCATTCGGAGTGGGGAAGACTGGAAGCTAGGGGCTGTCACCTTGGGGTGGGAAGAGGAATGGATGGATGCCCGGTTAGAGAACACACACACACACACCATCTCATTACATCATCCAGTCATACCGAAGAGAAGACATGGTCTCCACCCTAGACCGAAGCAATAGATGCCGCTACTTGTATGAAAAAGCTCCAACTGAGATCCCTGAACTCTGTTTGGATGTGCTGTTTAGAACAGGGATGGCAACTTTGATCGGGTGGGGGCCACAAAAAATATGAAGTCATCGTGAGGGGCCGCAGTGTCTGCGTACCCACATCCATACCCACACATCCAGTCTTAGCCGGCTCTAGCCTATAGCCCTTAGCCTTTAGCCCTTAGCCTTTAGCCCTTAGCCTATAGCCCTTAGCCTTTTTGGGGGCCCTACGAGAAATTGTTGCCCCACCCCTTGCAAGGAAAGCATTTCAGCCCCCCCCCCCCCCCTCGACTGCGTTAGAGAAAAAAATATACGTTTTAGAATTCATTTCCTGCAATTCTCAACATTTTGCTATGGGGCATAGAGAAAATATGGCAGTTTTAAAGTAAATTTGCTGCCATTCTACACATTTTTCAATGGTGTGAAGATAGGATTTAGCTATTTTTCCATTGGGTGGAGAGAAACGTTAGCAGTGTTTAATATGATATCTGAGTGAGAGAGAAAATAAAAATCATTGGGGTCCCCCCCCCCCGGTCGGTAATTCGACCATGATTACTCCAAGGTTAGATAGCTAGCCGCTGGACTAACTTACCAATATACATTTTATGGGCTAATTGAGTGACTGTCAGTGAGTGACGTGAGAGGAACTGCTGATGCACAACCACATGTCTAAATTGCAACTTGTGTATTTGGCTAGATGGCGCTGCAACATGTCAGCTGTGCAACTAGAGACGACAAAACTCTCGATCACCTTTACTCCACACACAGAAACGCATATAACAAAGCTCTCCCTCGCCCTCCATTTGGCAAATATGACCATAACGATATCCTCCTGATTCCTGCTTACAAGGAAAAATTCAAAACAGAAAGTACCAGTGACGGAAGTGGTCCGATGAAGCGGATGCTAAGCTAAGCTACAGGACTGTTTCACTAGCACAGACTGGAATATGTTCCGGGATTCATCCGATAATATTGAAGAGTTTACCACATCAGTCACCGGCTTCATTAATAAGTGCAACGACGACGTTGTCCTCAGTGACCGTGCGCACATACAGTGCCTTGCAAAAGTATTTACCCCCCTTGGCGTTTTTCCTATTTTGTTGCATTACAACCTGTAAATTAAATTGATTTTTATTTGGATTTCATGTAATGGACATACACAAAATAGTCCAAATTGGTGAAGTGAAATGAAAAAATTATATATTTCAAAAAATTATACAAAATAAATAACGGAAAAGTGGTGCGTGCATATGTGTTCACCCCCTTTGCTATGAAGCCCCTAAATAAGATCTGGTGCAACCAATTACTTTCAGAAGTCACATAATTAGTTAAATAAAGTCCACCTGTGTGCAATCTAAGTGTCACATGATCTCAGTATATATACACCTGTTCTGAAAGGCCCCAGAGTCTGCAACACCACTAAGCAAGGGGCACCACCAAGCAAGCGGCACCATGAAGACCAAGGAGCTCTCCAAACAGGTCAGGGACAAAGTTGTGGAGAAGTACAGATCAGGGTTGGGTTATAAAAAAAATATCCGACACTTTGAACATCCCAACGAGCACCATTAAATCCATTATTAAAAAATGGAAAGAATATGGCACCAAAACAAACCTGCCAAGAGTGGGCCGCCCACCAAAACTCACAGACCAGGCAAGGAGGGCATTAATCAGAGAGGCAACAAAGACACCAAAAATAACCCTGAAGGAGCTGCAAAGCTCCACAGCGGAGATTGGAGTATCTGTCCATAGGACCACTTTAAGCCGTTCACTCCACAGAGCTGGGCTTTACGGAAGAGTGGCCAGAAAAAAGCCATTGCTTAAAGAAAAAACTAAGCAAACACGTTTGGTGTTCGCCAAAAGGCATGTGGGAGACTCCCCAAACATATGGAAGAAGGTACTCTGGTCAGATGAGACTAAAATTGAGCTTTTTGGCCATCAAGGAAAACGCTATGTCTGGCGCAAACCCAACACCTCTCATCACCCCGAGAACACCATCCCCACAGTGAAGCATGGTGGTGGCAGCATCATGCTGTGGGGATGTTTTTTCATCTGCAGGGACTGGGAAACTAGTCAGAATTGAAGGAATGATGGATGGCGCTAAATACAGGGAAATTCTTGAGGGAATCCCGTTTCAGTCTTCCAGAGATTTGAGACTGGGACGGAGGTTCACCTTCCAGCAGGACAATGACCCTAAGCATACTGCTAAAGCAACACTTGAGTGGTTTAAGGGGAAACATTTAACTGTCTTGGAATGGCCTAGTCAAAGCCCAGACCTCAATCCAATTGAGAATCTGTCGTATGACTTAAAGATTGCTGTACACCAGCGGAACCCATCCAACTTGAAGGAGCTGGAGCAGTTTTGCCTTGAAGAATGGGCAAAAATCCCAGTGGCTAGATGTGCCAAGCTTATAGAGACATACCCCAAGAGACTTGCAGCTGTAATTGCTGCAAAAGGTGGCTCTACAAAGTATTGACTTTGGGGGTTAATAGTTATGCACGCTCAAGTTCTGTTCTTTTTTGTCTTATTTTTTGTTTGTTTCACAATAAAAAATATTTTGCATCTTCAAAGTGGTAGGCATGTTGTGTAAATCAAATGATACAACCCCCCCCCCCCAAAATCCATTTTAATTCCAGGTTGTAAGGCAACAAAATAGGAAAAATGCCAAGGGGGGTGAATACTTTCGCAAGCCACTGTATCCCAGACAAAAGCCATGGATTACAGGGAACAACCGTATTGAGCAAAAACTGCCGCTTTCATGGAGCAGGACACTAATCCGGACTCTTATAAGAAATCCCACTACGACCTCCAACGAGCCATTAAACAGGCAAAGCATCAAAATAGTACTAGGATCAAACCCTACTACGCTGGGACCTGAGCCCTAGGCCTCAGGACTACCTTGCCTGATGACTCCTTTCTGTCCCCAGTCCACCTGGTCGTGCTGCTGCTTCAGTTTCCACTCTTCTGCCTGCAGCTATGGAACCCTGACCTGTTCACTGGACGTGCTACCTTGTCCTGACCTGCTGTTTTCAACTCTCTCTCTCTACCGCAGCTACTATTTCAACCTCTAAATGCCCGGCTATGAAAAGCCAAGTGACATTTACTCCTGATGTACTGACCTGTTGCAACCTCTACAACCACTGTGATTATTATTTGACCCTGCTGGTCATCTATGAACGGTTGAACATCTTGGAGAAAAATCTGGCCTTAATGGCCATGTACTGTTATAATCTCCACCCGGCACAACCAGAAGGGGACTGGCCACCCCTCAGAGCCTGGTTCCTCTCTAGGTTTCTTCCTAGGTTTCTGCCTTTCTAGGGAGTTTTTCCTAGCCACTGTGCTTCTACATTTGCATTGCTTGCTGTTTGGGGTTTTAGGCTGGGTTTCTGTATAGCACTTTGTGACATCTGCTGATGTAAAAAGGGCTTTATAAATACAATTTGATTGATTGATTGAATTTGATTACAAAAGGGAAACCCAGCCGCGAGCTGCCCAGTGACGCGAGCCTATCAGACGAGCTAAATGCCTTCTATGCTCGCTTCGAGACAAGCAACACTGAACCATGCAAGAGAACACCAGCTGTTCCAGACGACTGTGTGATCTCGCTCTCCGTAGCCAATGTGAGTAAGACTTTTAAACAGGTTAATATTCACAAGTCCGCGGGGCCAGATGGATTACCAGGACGAGTACCCAGAGCATGCGCTGATCAGCTGGCAAGTGTCTTCACTGACATTTTCAACCTCTTCCTGACCCTGTCTATAATACCTACATGTTTCAAGCAGACCACTATAGTCCTTGTACCCAAGAACACATTTTACATTGACATTTTAGTCATTTAGCAGACGCTCTTATCCAGAGCGACTTACAGTTAGTGAGTGCATACATTTTCATACTGCCCCCCCCCCGTGGGAAACGAACCCACAACCCTGGCATTGCAAGCGCCATGCTCTACCAACTGAGCTACAGGGGACTGTAGGTAACCTGTCTAAATGAATACTGCCCCGTAGTGCCAGGGTTTCCGTCAGCCAGTAATAGCTGACTTTTGGCCGTATATATTTTGTTGAAAAGCCGTTAAATAAAAATATCCCAAAAAAATAAGTAGCAATTCCATTGCGAAATAATGCTTTTTAGATTGAAATACCAGTTGATAGATTGAAATACCAGTTGATGTAAATACATTTAACTGGTCATGTTTAAAAATCGGTCTATAGGTAAATTTACATCATTTAGTGGAATTAAAATTAATCACACACGCATAGCATACAGATACAAAGGGAACATCTATTGGACAGCACTTTCATAAGCCCAATCATTGCACAACAGATCTAAATGCATCCATGTGCTAAAAATAGTTTTGGGGCCATGATTAAAAACATCAAAAAAAAAAAATGTATTTCTTAACTGGTAATTGAAGCGCACTTCTCATTCGCCATTCAAATGCGTCGGCAACAGAAGGCAGGCTTCAGTGCGTCACACACCACTTTGCAATGAGCTGGAGGCAGTATGCATTTTGAAAACGTATAGCTACTTAAAAATTGTTTGAAACCTTTTACGTTTTACTACGAGGCATCTTTTACCTTGCCTCAAAGTAGCCTAGGTAAAACCCGACCATCTCCGTGGAGGCAAATATTTTCTAAAGACTTCCTTATTGCCATTGAAACCAGTAGCCTTTTTCTTTCATTTTCTATTGGTTTTCAACTTTATTTCATTGTCCGGTAGCCAAATGCCTGCTGCACTAATAATGTGAATAAATAATAGTATATCAAAATGTTAAGCTAAACGTTCTGATCTGTTGGATCAGATTAATTGCTTTTTAATATTAAATTTTTA